CTTGAGTGACTCGTTATTAGGTTAACCAAGAGCTGAGAAATATCGTTGAAAGGACCTTATATGTGTATATATATGTGTGTGTGTATGTGTGTGTGTGTGTGTGTGTGCGTGTGTGTGTGTGTGTGTGTGTGTGTGTGTGTGTGTGTGTGTGTGTGTGTGTGTGTGTGTGTGTGTGTGTGTGTGTGTGTGTGCGCGCGCGTGTGTGTGTGTGTGTGTGTCTGTGTGTATATATATGTGTGTGTGCGTGTGTGTATGTGTGTGCGTGTACGTGTAGGCGAGCGCGCTCTTGTCCTTCATAAACAACTGGTAGAAATATTAGCTACTTTTCCTGACTGATCCTCAACCAAAGCTATTACAAACACATTTCACATCCATGACATGACAGTGACTGGACGCTGGAGAAGGGATAACATGACCAAGTTCTTTCACGGCAGAACAACACGAAAAAAAAGCATCTACATCCACCTCTTCCGATGACTGGTGGTGATTTAAGATCTTCCAACTCTCGCCATGGATCTTTCCTTTCTAACCTCAACTGGAAACCTTGAATAACTGCCCTTGCTAAACGGCCCTTCCAGTCCCAGACATTATGCTGCCTCGAGAAGAATGAAATCTTTGAATGATCTTCCTTTTCAAACTTCAGCCGCATTTCCGAGCTTTGGAACAATCTTCCTGCCTTGTTTTCCCAGTTCCTTACAATCAGTCCACTTTCAGAAATGCTGTAAACAAACTTATATATCTCCTTCTTTTCTTTTCCGTTACTTTGGGTCATTCCTCAAAACACACGCATACATAGACACTAACAGACACACACACACACACAAACACACACACACACACACACACACACACACTCACACACACATACATACACACACACACACCCACACACACACACACCCACACCCACAACACATCTACATCATAACAAAGTACTTGAAACCGCTGGCTAACCTACGACCAAGGGTATATAGCTCGCGATATGGAACTCTTATCTCCGTTCCTTTATGGCGCACTATTTGCATCCCCCCAGATTACTGAAGTGGGAATTAGCGAGAGGAATATTCCGTTAGTTCCCACGAAAGGAGGAGGGAATGGAATAAAAATAGCTCTCGTTTGGAATAAAGAGAGATGGATATTGAAGGAGAGTAATGGCATGCTCTTCGCTAATGTGGATTCAGCTAGTGCTAACCCACACACTTTGTTGATCACCGTTTTAGTGGATTATTGCAGCAATGACCTTAATAACGTGAACGTTCAGGAGGCGCATGCAACCAAACGTTTCGAAATAATGCATCTGAAGGGGTTTTACTTTGTAGTGAACCTCATATAATGACTAGACAATACTAATCTCTAATTACTGGCGGAGAAGGAAAAAGGAAGGGATGAAGAGAAAATGAGGACGATTACTTGTTGTTATCAAGAAGCTTCGAAGAAAAGAGAAAAATAAGATAGGAAGCGTGAGAGAGAATAACAGCAAAAGGAATAATAAGAGGTAGATAAGCGAAAGACATGAACAAAAAGAGACAAGGGGGAGGGAAAAAGAGTGTGAAGAAAAAGAGAGGACAAGAGAAAAGTAGAAAGGAAAGAGAGAGCGCAAGAAAAGTGCAAAGGTATAGAAATAATCTGAACAAAACTAGGAGAAAAGGATACAGAGAACGAAAAAAAAAGTTAATCAGTAGAAAGAAGGAAAAATAAGAAAATGAGGTACAGCAATACAAAGATAGATTAGGAGAGAGAAATACAGGAATTGCATTATATTTCACATCGAATTACCTCACATTCAAATCATATTCAAACCTTCAGAACTACGTCTTTCCATTACCTTTTCGTGAGTAAGGAGAGAATTATAAATCGTTTACCAAATAACATCAACTACGGTCATCTTTGCATATCTCACAATAGCCAGACCACCCCATGTGTTTCTGTTGCATGAGTGTGCCATTCCTAACCCCCTATCCATCCTTAAATTCGGAGAATTATTGTACGCCCAACCACAGAAAAGGAAGGAAAGAAAGAAATTGGCAACTCACCCCGGACTCTGGAACACTTCGAATTACTTTCATTTTTTTCAAATTCTAATCATGCATTATGTATTTTTGGAACAAGTATACAGTTTTTTCCTTTTTTTCAATTGGAATTTGCCGCTTTTAGCACCATTCTGTTATTTTTTTTCCTTAAAAAAAACGCTTAACGAATCGAAGTATCCCAGGATCCGGGTGAGTTGCCATTTCTTTCTTTCCTGTTATTATGCGCGCAATAACTCCCGGGAATAAGGATTTAAAGTGTATCAGAAAAGGTACAGCTGTTCTACAGAAATGCACTTGTTTTTTTTTTCGTTTTGAATGTATGTAAAGATTCGTATTCGATATCATTTAATAAATGGATTGCAAGGGAATTCTCTCTGACTTAATACAACGAAGACACTACCCCCCCGGCTACGGATACCCCCTCCCCGACCGCCGTTCATTCTCATCGGAATAATCAGGGAGTAATTATGGCAGGGAGCAATAAAATTTTTCACCAGTGGAAATCGAGCGCCCTTGCCTACTCCCCGCGATACCAGCATATCTATTAGCGTCCCAGGAGGAAAAATTAAGCCTAAGGAATGCAATTACCTAGCTGCCAAACCGGTGAGTGACGTGTGTTTGAACTGCGGAGTCGATTCCAACTGGGAAAACGCAAGTGCACCATTTCTCCGCGAGTCACAAGCCAGGGTCACGCGAAGGGAAGTAATGAAGGGGTTGAATTAATCAAGCTTTCAGACTACCGAAACCTATATGAGGTGCTGCCATCTACAAGGCTCACCAGACAGGCTATAACAAGGGGACACTACCTGAGAAATCCATCTGAGGAATCTCAAGCCCATCATTGTACACGCAACAGGAATAAATAAGGAGAAAGAAATATGGAAAAGAAGAAGGAAAAGTGGAAGAATAGAGAAAAATAGACCGTCGTTATACATGCAAGCATTTGTTAATGACTCTCTATTCGAGCCTCCTGACATAGGGTCAAAGGAGACTATACTGAAGTGAACAAAGAGGGAAAAGCAGAAGAGACATTGGTGAATTTACCTTAACTTTTACGCTAACGTTTACATTTCTTACTCTTTCCGGTGACGTTAGAGAAATCACTTAAATGTCAGTAAACACTATTTGCCGTGTTCTAATCTTGGAGGTTTTAACACGAGCATTCTGTCAGGTTAGATCTTCCCAAACAAGAGAGAAAAGAAACAGAAAATATGGTTCATTTCTGTGATGATAATTGACAATGGAAACTGAAATAGATTCAGACATCGTGACGCACCCGTTTGTCAAACGTTAAAACACATGATGCCCATTTCTAGAAAACTTTCAATAAAGCGAATGCATTAATAGCTATATTACAGACAGCATTAAGGATGGAGGAGAACAGTATACCAAAAATGTCCTCATTTCAATAGTGTTTTACAGTGTTCCTTTGCTTGAAGAGCCAACCTCATCGTAAATCTGACGGATAATCGTTTTTTGTTTTTGTTTTTAGTGAAGCAAGTGAAGTAATTAGAACTACTTACAAGCTAAAATAGTGAAAATCGTCCTCAAGAGAATAATATCAATCTGTTGCAGCTTTTCAACGAAAGAATTACAAGGGCCTATTGTATTTAATTACATGGTAGCTTGATGCAAAAGCCAAGAAAGCAAATGAAAATTCCTTATGTTGATGTGAAGAAGAGAAAGAAGAAAAAGAAGAAGAGGAAGAAGAAGAAGAAGTAGGAGAAGGAGAAGGACAAAGTGAAGAAGAAAGTGAAGCAGAAGAAGGCGAAGCAGAAGGACAAGGAAAAGGAGGAGGAGAAAAGGAAGAAGAAAAATAAGAAGAATGAAAGTAAAAAGAAAAAGAAGAAAGGGAAAAAGAAAAGGAGAAGGAAAATAAGAAGAGGATTAGAAGGATAATAATAGTAATAATAATAACAATAATGATAATAATAATAATAATAATAATAGTAATAATAATAATAATAATAATAATAATAATATTGATAATAATAATAATAATAACAACAACAACAAAGCAACACCAATAATAGTAATAAGCCGAAGAAGAAGAAAGAAAGAAAGAAAGAAAGAAAGACAGACTTGCCTTGGGAGACACTTCAAATAAATTCCTGCTGGACCAAAGTCTTCGGTAAGAAGATACGAACAGGAAAACAAGGGATAAAAGAGAGAAAAATCAAACAACTACACCAACAGATATTATGTTCCTAGTATGGGATGGAGAAGGAGAGAGAGAGAGAGAGAGAGAGAGAGAGAGAGAGAGAGAGAGAGAGAGAGAGAGAGAGAAATAGAGAGAGAGAGAGAGAGAGGAGAGAGAGAGAGAGAGAGAGAGAAAGAGAGAGAGAGAGAGAGAGAGAGAGAGAGAGAGAGAGAGAGAGAGAGAGAGAGAGAGAGAGGAGAGAGAGAGAGAGAGAGAGAGAGAGAGAGAGAGAGAGAGAGAGAGAGAGAGAGAGAGGGGGGGGGGGGGGGGAGCGTAGCAAAACTGACCCTTGACATCAACCTGATACGCCTCTCAAAGACACATCAGGTGTATTTACTCCCTCTTTACCAGGAAAACTTCTAAAGAGACCGCATCAACTACCGACGTTACCTGATTAAACGACACCCAAGGACATACACAGGGAAGCCATAAAGTCCCTTTCTTGATTCAGGTGAGGACCCTAATGAAAATACTTTACACTATCCAAAGCAAATGCCATATGATTAGGAAAGTGACACTTGCGTCTGGTTCATAGGATTTAAAAAACGGAATATGATGAGGTTGAGTTGGTGTGACATTTACACGTGAAGTAGTAGAATGGTGGAAATACAGTATGTGGCCTCATATATGTTTGTACGTGATGTCACATTGTAACGCCTAGACCCGTCGCCTGAAAAGTTCGTAACCGGGATGGTGTACAGAAGACAACACGCGCAGCCCATTTTTATGCTCGAAAATGAGAAGACCCGAATCTCTTTAACTGATCTTACCTGGCAATAGTTGACGAAGATGCAGAGACCCTCTCCGAAGGGCCAATACTGCAGCACGATGATGGAGGCGACCGAGAAGGGAACACAGAACACCATGATGAGCAGGTCCCCGACGGCGAGATTGGCGATAAAGAAATTGGTGACGGTGTGCATCTTGCGACTCGTCACCACCGTGTACAGCACCAGCAGATTGCCGAACAGTGCGATCACGAATATGGACGCGTACATGTAGTAAATGAGCGGCATGTATGAGAAGTCATAGGGTCTGCACACTCCCGACAGTTCGAGGATCTCGAGTTCCTCATTGGTGATGTTGCAGTCCTCGCACAGTGTGAAGTCGTCGAGTATCCGGGTGTCGTTGGTGGTGTAGTACAGGTAATGGACCTCCTCCCGGCACCGCTGGAGGATCTGGTCCGCGTCAAGAGGCCGGGGACTCTGGGAGGCGACCCCATCGGGCAGAGACGTGCCCAGGGCCTCGGGATGCTCGGCCATGGCGGCGCGCAACGGGATCCCAGCGCCCTACCTCCTCCGGTATTCACAGAGAGAAATCAGTACCTGCCAGACGCAAGGGTCAATCTCCAAAGGGCGCATTTCCTACGTTTCAAATGTCTCGGGGCGTCGAAGGGCCTCCGCAGCACCTTTCTTTCGCTTCAGGAAATACCCAGTCAGAAGCAACACACACGCGGCCATCACATCAACGTCTTCTTATTCCCTTTGGCCTGAGCGTCGGGCGAGCCAGT